GTCTCAGAAGACCGATTAGGAGTCCATATGGGTCAGATGGACCGACTGCAGTGGGTTTGGTTTTGTGTGTGTAGGTACGAGGCAGGTGCACGTGCATGTACGTGAAGTTTCTAGTTACCCACTTACAGGGGCGGCAGCTTCTCCCTCCCCTTCTGTTTCACGGTGACAGTGGCCACTTGCCCCAGTCACAGCCACTTGTCCGCAATGGGGGAGATGGTACCCATTGCCTAACTTGCTACATTTCTCCAATGTCACAGATTCCACGGAAAACGGAAAGTCTATAAATACACCCCAGAGCAGAGCCCCTTCTTGGAGACCATCAGCACACACAGTCCGGGGAGCCCAGAAAACCAGGTAAGAGGCAGCCAGAGTGCCGACGGGCCAGCTCCTGACAGGGACCAGCCTGCAACAGTCGTCGTGACAGGACAAAACTACACCCCCACACTCCTCACCAGGGTGTGTCAAGTTGGGGTGCGGGCGGGGAGGCAAATATTTTCTTTAAATTGAACTTTGCGCTGCTTGTTTTAAAAAAAAACCAATGCATTAAGACTCTCTTCCAAAAAAAGTAATCCTCATCAGGTGTGCTCTATGAGCAGGGTGTAACAGTGCGTAAACATTTCGTGATCACCGAGCCTTTAAGGGAATGAGTTGGTGGGCCCCGGGTGATCTATTGACAACACATGTCAGTCACTGAATTGCCCATGGAGACGCCTCTGTGCATACTTCCACCAAACCTCAAAATCAGTGACACTGAACCAGCCTGGTGTTCGTGTTGACCAGCCTCTGGCGGCAGACGTGTGGCTGCATTCCGGAATGCCCTCTTCTGCGTCATGGCCCTCTTTGTCTCTCCTGTGTCCACACCACACTACGGTCTTGCATTCTGTGGTTTTGCTAAACACTGTAGCTTTATGGTGAGTCTCCAAATCTGGCCGTGTGGTCGGCCCTCCTCCTGTGTTCTTTTTTAAGAGTGCCTTGGCTATTTTAAGTCCTTTGCATTTCCACAGACGTTTTAGAGGCAGCTTGTCAATGTCTACAAGAAAAAGATCTGCCAGGCTTTCTGCTGCGATTGCCTTGCTGCTGGAGGGTAAGGTTGTGGCTCCTTGGCACCTGCATATTGGCACCTCACGCGTGCCATTGACC